GGGCGCGCGGGTGGGTGTGGGCCGGTCGCACGGGGCACTCAAGGGCGCGCGAGAAGGGGCGGGGCCGGTCCGTAAGAGGCACGTAAGGGCGCGCGGGGCAGCGACTGCGCAGGGCCGCACGGGGCACGCAAGGGCGCGCGGGGCAGGCGACGCGCGAGGTGCTGCGCGGGTCGCACGCTAGGGCGTACGAGGTGGGCGGGGCCGATCGCACGGGGCACGCTAGGGCGTGCGGGCTAGGCGGGGCCGATCGCGAGAGGCGCGCTAGGGCGCGCGATAGTGAGGGAGAGAGGAGGGCGCTCGAGGGCGCGACTAGGCGAGGCGCGCTAGGGCGCGACTATGCGAAAACGGTGGGCCCTATCGTTCGGTCCTAGGTTACGACCTAGGCTCGCGATACCATGTTAGAAACTGAGAGAGAACGAGAATGAATGAACTAGCAGAAAGTTGGGTACAAGTAGGAAACCCTAAGTTTGTTGTACCCCCTAAGGCTAAACCCACTATAGCCTACACAATATAAACATATAATGTTTGACATAACGAACGGTGGGGTCTGCTTTGAGTCATCAATGGCCATCTTTTATGTGCTAGGCCAAACGACAAAAACCACTTACTTGTTCCAAACTGGAACCACAATTGCGTCGAAATCCAAAACCTTGATCGTAGATGAGGCGATCTGGGCCAGCTCCTTGCAAGTCATAATACGCACGTTCAACTCGGGCTTACTCTCGCACGCCCATCTGCGAAAAACACGCAAAACATCAGCCAGTGCAGTGAATATGAATCCCCCTAAAAGTCGACGACGTACAGCAGACCCATCTTGAGTGTCAGATCGGTGAGCTCCTTCGTGTCATCAAGCAGCTGCCCAAGATCATTCTCACAGAGGACGCGGTGACCCCCTGTGTGAAACTGTACTTTCACCCTACGTGAAGCCATGCTTTGCGCTATTCCGCCCGATGGATGCTAAAGTCTAATGTGCAGTTTCTTTATAGCAAGCTCGTGTGTGTGTGTATAGATGTCAGATTGTGACGACTAGTCAAACCGCATTGTCGACTTTGCGAAAAGGATGTAACAAGGTGACTTGTAACCGTGAACATGTCATGTAACACGATTCGTCCTGTGAATCATGAAAAATGTAATGTCTGCTGTCGAAGACGATTCATGTCAGGGTTGCGGCAAGAGTGCTCGTGTATTGGTGCCAGTGCATGGCTCCATCGGCTCGTATTGAGCATTCTCTAAACATCACCCACCCGACGATGCCTAGTAGGAAGCGCAAGGGAGTAGCGAGCGGGTCAAGTGTAGAATATTACGACGTAGTTTGGAATCGTGTATTTTGTTGTTACACCGGTTTTGATTTTGTTGGCTTAGCATTCCGTCTACATGTAAACATATGAGTACTGTAATTCGGCGGTTCCCCCCAAAGGGTGACAGTCCGTACAACTGTTTCAAGAACAGCTAACACGCGTCTGAAGGATGGTTTCTGGCATGATTTATACACACCTAGCATGCCACATCATCGCAACCATTCTCACTAATCGGAAACGTCAGAAGAGTCATCTGGGGTGAAGACCTCGCTAGGCTCGGCGGCATCACCAAGAGGCGTTGCATAACAAACTTGGAACACCGCACCCGAAAGTAGTCCGTTGATGAATCGCGATATGGTCTCACGCATGACGTGGAAATCACGCGGCGGAGTTGTAGGATACAATTCTTTCATAGCGCGTCGAGCAGAAAACCCTTCCATGTCAGCCAGCAGGTCTTGCAGAAACCGCACACACCAAACCCCTGAAAGGGGCTCATTCAAGTCCTCTACGAGAAGATCGTCGTTGAAGTCTGTGTTGCGCAGATTCCTCAAGCGGGCTTCCACGATTTCACCAGAAATCGGATTCTCATTGGCCCGTAATTCACGACGCACCTGATTCTCGAACCATCTGCAGCAGCCGGTTTCGGGTTTTGGGAAATCAGCGAAGTTCAGCACGCAAAGAGCCGAGGTACGCGAGGCAAGCCTCACCTGCTCATCCAACCCGACATGCAGCCAAATCCAGACCAGCCTGCATTGTTGCCTCTGCGTTTGGGGTCGAGGAAGAAGCTGCGAGACCGCGTTACTGAGCCCTCTGCATGTGCGAAATCGCCCGGATGAGTAACGACGAACAACGCACACCCTGCGACTCGAATCCGAAACACCAGCTGCAGATTGCATCATAAGGCATGTCAGCAATGGAGTTCAAACTGCGTGTTAAACAGATAAACACAAATACACTTACTCGTTCCAGATTGGAACCACCACAACGTCAAAATCCTGTATTTTGACTGCAGGGTCGTGTCAGAATATGTTGTTTGTGTAGCCTGCAGTGGGGTACTCAATAGTGAGTACAGCCCCTTAGGGTTTGCTATTTGTATCCTGCTGCTTGCTAGTCCAATCATTCCTTTCTCAATTCTGTTCGTGCACACAACTCTCGCTCTCACTTGGCGCTTCCTTTCGTAGTTCTACTGAGGCCTAGGCTTCTAAGCCTAGGCCCTCCTCCTAGTATGTTTGACATGGTATCAGAGGGCGGCATGTCTGCCGCCTTCCTGTGTATGGGCCCACCACCTGCTTCCGCTGCCGTACTGTCCGCCGCGCGCCCCGTGGTGCGCGGCGCCGAAATTAGGGTTTCTGCCCGCCGCGCGCTCGGGGCGCGTGGCGGCTTACCCCTCCGTGGCGCCCGTCGTGGTGCCCTCGGGGGTCCGCGCGGCCTCCCCTCCCGTCGTCCGTCGTGGCGACCACGGGGGCCCGCGCGACCTCCCCTCCCGTCGTCCGTCGTGGCGACCACGGGGGCCCGCGCGGCCTCCCCTCTCGTCGTCCGTCGTGGCGACCACCGGGGCCCGCGCGGCCCCCCCTCCCGTCGTCCGTCGTGGCGACCACCGGGGCCCGCGCGGCCCCCCCTCCCGTCGTCCGTCGTGGCGACCACGGGGGCCGCGCGGCCTCCCCTCCCGTCGCCCGTCGTGGCGACCATGGGGGCCGCGCGGCCTCCCCTTCCCGTCGCCCGTCGTGGCGCTCCGGGGGGCCCGCGCGGCGCCCTTCCCGTCGCCCGTCGCAGCGGCTCTGGGGGCCCGCGCGGCGCCCTTCCCGTCGCCCGTCGCGGCGGCTCTGGGGGCCCGCGCGGCGCCCTTCCCGTCGCCCGTCGCGGCGGCCCTGGGGGGCCGCGCGGCTCCCTTTCTCGTCGCCCGTCGGGGCGCCCTGGGGGCCGCGCTCTTCCCCCCCCCCTTCCTCCTACCTTTCACCTGCAGCGGCCGCCCCTGGAGCCACCCCTGGAGCAGCCCGCACCTGCAGCAGCCGCCCCTGGAGCAGCCCGTGCCTGCAGCAGCCGCCCCAGGACCAGCCCGCACCTGCAGCAGCCGCCCCTGGAGCAGCCCGTGCCTGCAGCAGCCGCCCCAGGACCCGCGCCAGCTGCCCCTGCAGCAGCCCGCGGCCCGTCCCTGCAGCCCGTCCCGTCACCCCCCCCCTCCCCCCCCCCCCGTGCTGCCCATTGCTCCCATTCCGCCGTGCGTTCCACGGTGGTGGGGGTGTGGGGTGGCGGGCATGGGGGTGCGAGGTGTGGGTGCTCCCCTTCCCTTTCCCCTCCTCCTTTTTTTGTCTCCCACTGCTGCAGCTGCTGCTGAGGGGGGTGGAGGTGTGGGAGCCGCGGGGAGTGGAGCTAGGGGGGTGATGTGGGAGTGGAGCTAGGGGTGCAGCAGGGGGTGTGTGAGGGGGGTGTGGGACAGTTGGAGGAGGTTGAGTGGAGGCTGTCGTCGTGTCGTCCGCAGCGCCTGTAGTCCGGGGTTCTAGTGGCCGCCGGTAGCTCAGAGAGCTTGCTGCACCTGTCGCCCGTGGGTCCATTGCTCCTGTCGCTCATCGCAGCTGCAGAGCCTGTTACTCCTGTAATCCGGGGACTAGTCGCCGGTAGCCACTGAGTGCGCACTCTTGTTGCCCGTGTGTCTGCAGCTTCAGTCGTCGCCTCCCATCTTCTCTCCTCTCGCAGTCCCTCCTCCTCCTCACTTGCCCTCTGTGACTGCCTCTAGCTCTGCTCATTAATTGTGAACTATTGCTATGACTGCTCATTGTGCTGATTACACCCCACTTTGGCTATGGGGGTGTGTCAGAATATGTTGTTTGTGTAGCCTGCAGTGGGGTACTCAATAGTGAGTACAGCCCCTTAGGGTTTGCTATTTGTATCCTGCTGCTTGCTAGTCCAATCATTCCTTTCTCAATTCTGTTCGTGCACACAACTCTCGCTCTCACTTGGCGCTTCCTTTCGTAGTTCTACTGAGGCCTAGGCTTCTAAGCCTAGGCCCTCCTCCTAGTATGTTTGACAGGTCGTTCCCGTGACCCCTTGACGCAGCTATCTGTGTCATCTCTTTGTCGGTGATAATACGAACTCTCACATCAGGCTTGCACTCGCACGCCGATCTGCAGAAACCAACACAGGGGTTCAGCCACTGCAACTTAGTTGGCTCTGCCGAACATTCATCTACTTACAGAAGACCTATCTGTAGAGTAATATTGTTGAGCTCATGCGTATCATCCAGCAGACGAATCAAATCTCTCTCGTCGAGGGCGTGGTGGCCACCGGTGTGAGCCACTACTTTCACCTTACGGGAAGCCATGCTTGTAATGGTTTTGTTTTAAAAAATGAGCACATTTATACCCGAGGTACATGTAGTGTGTTTCTGCCAGCCTAACATGGTAGGCGGCACGATCGAGAGACGGTGCCGCCGTGTTCGCAATGGACGGGACGTTCCGAGATGCTGGGACTCCAATGTCAAACCGTCGAACATCACCGGGGGATCTCCATTGTCGTGCGTGATTATTGCTCTGCCACCAAAAATAACTTTATCCGCTGAATGTACTTTTTACCTAAATATCTGAACGTCTACGAGTCTGGAATGTCAAATACATAGTGCCACAAAAAGGTTGAAGTTATGGTAAAATCACCTGGACTAGATGAAATTCTACAGATCCCTCTTCAACCACTGCCCGCGTCGAAACCTCACGAGCGATCCCCAACATAAGGCTCCGGAGGGGGAATGTGATGCTTCCTCCGTTTCTTCGCCATCTGCCCAGCCTCCCTAGCCCTGATGCGAGGCCATGCGTCCGCTCCCACGACCGACTCCGCCCAAGCCTCATCGCGTGCCTTTGCGTCCACGAGAAGGTAGACAATCCTGTTGCGTGAACTCTCGTTCACGCTGATCCCGTCCTCTCCCGCCACCTCTCGCTTTCTCTTTTGCAAGACACTGACCACATTCCCGTCCCCAATAGCGCTATCCGATGACTGTGATAGCAACCAGTCACCGAGAGCCAACGCATATGCGGTCGCGGCTTCGGAGTCATCGGGTCGCAGACTGTCGATGGTGAGCATCTGATTCCTCCTCCGCCCCAACCGCTTGGAACGCGAGTTTGTTAAGACATTCGGGTCTCCATACTTGGAGTAGGTTGCGAGAAAGTCATCAGCCTTCGCCAGTTCGCGGAGGGACGTGCCGCCCATCATACCAGTGCCCATGTCCCATAGCTTCCACGCCTCTGAGACCTTGTGTGATTTGAGCCATGGGTTGACGACAGCCGCGAAAAACATCCTCCGATCCTCTTGTTCTTGAGTTTCCGCGTCGGGCTTCGCGTCGCAAACCTCCGTCTTTGGATCGGCGGCCCCTCCGTTCGACGCAGCACAGGGCGGAGCGTCGTCGCCTCGAAACTCCCGTTGCAACGCCGCCATCTGCGCTTTCAGCAGCGCATTCTCTTCGTGGAGACTCTTGTTCTCCATCCTCAACTGCCCGTTGTCCGCCGTCAGCCTCCCCGCATTCTCCATGAGCTCCTGGTTTAGGAGTCGCAGCTTGGTCATCTGCTGGGTTCCTTGGAGTCGATAGATGGCATCCTGCACCCGTGCAACACCAAATGTCAAAACGCGAGGCTCAGGAAATCACTAAACCCAATCCGCACAGAAACTAATCTCTTACCGCTGCTGCATACTGGCCCACATTTTTCCGAAGACGACGACCTTCTTCGTCCATGTTCGCGACACTGTTGGCCCATTTTTGAAACAAGTGCTCCTTACAGAGAGGCGAGATCTCAGCGTATGGATGACGGGTACAATTGCACGCACGTCCTTCACCTGTGAACTTGCTCTTGCACTTGGGGTTCTCGCAAAATATCCAAAACATCGCAAGGTCCTGAGCAACCGTAGAACGCCCATGGTCACGGAGGGCCTTCAAAAACTGCTCTGCCGATAGCTTTTTCTCGTGCGACTTCTTGTCTTTGTTGAACTTTTCGACCTGCGAAACGGCCAAAAAAAAGATGAAGAGACCAAACCCAGAAAACGAAAAACCCAGGTCTGATGACGCACCTTGGCCATCTCCTCTTCGAGCCACGGGTAGATGTGCTTTCTGAATAATCCTTCAAGTTCTTCCCACTCGCGCTCATCCTCTAGTTTCGCATGTGCTCTGCCGATGTAGTAGTCCCCGGGATCGCCAGAAAAGCCCGCCATCAAAAGCACCGGCTCGAAAGGCACGCCCAACAGGTACGACCTCCGCATCTCTCCCTGCTCCCATCCTCCCAGCTTCGCAATGAGGGCGTCTGGGCACCGGTCGTCGCTGAGACCCTGCGCCCCGGACCTGCGGAAGATGTGGGTCACTTTGCTCGACGACCATCCCGCCTTAGTCATCACCCAGCCGATCCAATTGTTGTGCGTCTTGTATTCCATCGGGTCCTGCTCTTGGGGTGATTTGTCGGTGTGCTTGTTGATCGGGAAGAAGATGTGTTTTTTGAACCAGTCCGTATTTTTGTCAAACTTCAACGGTGGAATGAGTTTTTTCTTGTACTGGACCTCGACAAGGTCGTACACGAAATGGATCCACAGAAAGACACCACCGTAGCCGCACCGCTTGTAGTCGATGTGCCTAGCAACATACTGGTGGGACAAACGGTTCGTGGGATTGTTCTTCGTCTGTCGAGAAACGAACACCATGACTGGAAGGTCTAGAAACTCGTCGTGGAGAGTAGTGCTGCGAGTCTCGTGGACGTACATGTTGGCAAATCGCAGAGAGCGGATACTGCACCCTCTGCCCAGCATCTGATGCGCCACCGTGATCATGACCTCCACTGCCAGAACCCTCCACAATCCCTCAGATAGGAACTGCACGCTGGCCTTGAAGTATGTTGTCCTCCATTCGGGCAGAACCTTGTGAAACAGATCCCTGTACTGCGCTGCCGTGTACACGTCGTTCAGAGAACCGCGCGGGCTGTTCAAACCCCTCGCTGCAACAAACAGAAACAAACATGTTAGCGTCTTAGCAACCCAAAGGAACCCAATAAACCAATCGTCTACTTCACTCACTCGACCTGCTTGTTGCTGAGGTTGCGGAGCTTGATTCGAAGCAAACCCCTTGCCTCCCTCATCATGTCCGACACACGAGAGGCACAGTAGTTGAAAATGCGGAGAGTCACTACACAACGGGAGAGGACTACGGTGGAGGGCACGGGGTTGTGCGAGTGATCGTAGCTCTGCGCTAACGTTCTTACTACTGGCTTGTGTTCACACAGAAGTTTGGCAAGAATTCCACTAAGCAAAAGAACAACTTGAATTGAAAAGTTGGAAGTACAATTGAGGCATGCAGAATGAAAGAACTAGAATGGCATGCAACACCTAGCAAGGGCGAAATCTGCCAGCGCAGCAGAAGAGCGGCTTGCCAACGTTGCAGCAGAGTGATCTGCCAACGTTGCACTGCACGCGGTCTGCCAGCACTGCAGTCGCAGGTAACTATCTGCAGTCGCAGGTTGTCTATCTGCGCAGATGTGCGCACCTACCAAGTAGGTGCAGGTTGGCGGTTTCACCGTCAGGCACATTGCGCAGGTGCCAGGTAGAAAACGTGTCGTCGGTTTCGCCAGGTGCGCACCGTCGAGCACGTTCTGCCATTCCGCAGGTAGAACTTCGCCAAAATCTCCTGGGCGAAAGTTCGCACGCCTCAGCAGAGTTTCGCACAACTCTGCAACTTCGGTCGATCAGCTCGACATCGATCGGTCGAACAACGTTCGCCGAACAGAGCTCCTCGACCCGAACTCCTCGACCAGAGTTCCTCGACCCGAACTCTTCGAATAGAGCTCCTCGACCAGGATCGTCGACCAGCGCTCTTCGACGGGAGCTCGTCGCGCAGAGATCGTCGACCAGAGCTCGTCGCGCAGAGCTCGTCGACCAGATTCTGTCGAGCAGAGCCTGCTCGACCGCAACTTCCGTCGAACTGCAGAAGCCCATTTCGTCGACCAATCCGTCGCGAACTTCTCGTCGACGGCGAGATCGGCTGCGCCCAAGCGAGGGCGGGGCCTTTCTCTTCGACACTCCCCTGCCCAGCTCACGCTTGGGCACCCACACACAAGGTCCACCCAGAACCCAGAGGGATAGAATACAAGGAGAAATTTTCCTTCTACGTGCATCCAACGCATAGCACGGAGTTCACCGCTCCAGCCGTGCAGAAGGGCACGGCACCTACTGCTGCACCTCGTCATCCCCGTCGCCCACGTCGGCCAGACGCACTTGGCCGATTGCGACGGAGCACCGGTTGAAAGCCGGAAAATGCAGCGCCTTCGTCAGAAAATCCGCCGGCTGCTCGGTGGTCGGGATGTACTGCAGAGCAATCTTCCCGCGCCTCACCATCTGTTGCAGCCATGCGTAGCGTCGCTCCATGTGCTTGAGGTTGCTCTTGAGCCCCAAGCCCTCTGTGACAGTGATCGCAGACTGATTGTCCACGTGCAGAACAGTCGGCTTCCTTGGATCGAGCAGACGGAACTCTGCAAAGAGGAAGCGCAGACGGCGAGCCTCCTTGCCGGCTTCGGTGGCCGCGACGTACTCTGATTCGGTCGACGAGAGCGTTGCGCATTTGATGCGCTGGCTCGCCCAAGAGACTGCGGCTCCTCCGAATACGAAAACGTAGCCGCCCGTGCTCGTCCGATTCTGCTTGTCGCCAGCGTCGTCGGCATCTGCATAGCCGACCAGACACAGCGACTCTGGTCCGCCGCCGAACTCCAGAGCGGCGTCACGAGTTTCAGCGAGGTAGTGCAGACAGCGATCGACCTCACGCCAGTGGTTGTTGCTCCGCACTGTCAGGCCGGATCCGAGCTTGCTGCAAGCGAAGGCAATGTCGGGCCTCGTCGTGGTGGCCGCGAACTGCAGCGAGCCGACCTTCTGCCGGTACTCTGCTTCCTCGCGCGACTGAAACTCCTCGTCGTCGAACACCAGCTCTGCGTAGGCATCGACGGAGACCGGCGTCTTCGGCACTCGCCCGGTCTGCTCCTCGTCGATGAAGCGTCTGTGCAGCTTGTCGACGTAGACTTGCTGGTGAAGCCACAGCTTCCGCGCCGGTCGATCGCGCACGATTTCCAGCCCGAGATACTTCTTGACCGGCTTGATCTCGCGCAGCTCGAAGGCGGCCTCCAGAAGCTCCTTCAACTCTTTCAGCATCGCAGTGCTGCTGCTTGCAGCGAGCAGATCGTCGACGTAGACGAGCACCCAGCACGCCACTCCGTCGTCGCCGACCTTGAAGTAGAGAGCCTCATCTACCTGGCTCTTGCTCCAACCAGCGCCGATCATCACCGCGTCGAGCGCCGAGTACCACAGCAGCGGACTCTGCTTCAGTCCGTACAAGCTCTTCAGCAGCTTGCAGACGCGACCGGTTCCGTCGTTGAAGTAGTCGGGCTGGTACATGTAGAGGACGCGATCCAGCTTGCTCTGCAGAAACGCGTTTTTCATGTCCAACTGCATCAGGTGCAGGTCGAGGACTGCTACGATGCTGAGGAAAATCCGCAGAGTTACGTAGCTCCCCACCGGCGCGTACGTCTCGTCGTAATCCGCGCCGTAAACCTGTGTGAAACCTTTCACCACCAGACGCGCTTTCTCGCGGGCGACCGTGTCGTCGACGTGGTACTTCGTCGTGAGTACCCAGCGATTCTTCATCACGTTGACACCGCGCGGACGCTCGACCAGCTCCCACGTCCCGTTAGAGATGAGACTCTTGATCTCCTCGTCCATGGCGGCTTTCACCGCCTTGCCTATCCAGCTCGCCAGTGCCTCCTTCACTGTCATGTTGGCGATATCCCAGCGATGCTCTAGATCAGCGTGCATGTTGGGGTCGAGCTCGGGCAGATCGATATCGTAATCTGCGTCGTCGAGCAGAGTGCTGTAGGCCGTCGGCGACACACAAGCGTGGTAGCTCAGCTTCTCAGGCGGCTTGCCGAAGTTGGAGCGGGTAGAATGTCGCGGTTTCGCCTCTTCGACCGCGACCTCCACCACATCGCTGTCGTCTTCGGACTGCTCCCCTGTCGACAGCTCCCCTTCGTCACCGCCAGCCGCACCGACGACTTCCACAACGTCGCTCGACGAGTCGTCGTCGAACTGCTCCCCTGTCGGCAGCTCCTCTGCCAACGGCTCCCCTAAAGCTGGCGCCTCTGCCAGCGGCTTCTCTGCAGTCTGCTTCGGCGTCTCTGCGAGCAGCTTCTCTGCAAGTGGCACCTCTGCCGACGGCTTCGCTGAAGTCGGCTTCGACGCCGACAGCTCCCCTGTCGTCTGCGGCTTCCCGTCGCTGACCTTCTCGGCATCACGTCGGCCACCGGCGATGCAACCGGTCGGCGCCGCAGGCGACGCACCGAGTCTCCCCTCATCGCCGGCGGCCGACGAGGATCCCTGCACAGGGGGAGGGAGGGAGGGGGTGACGTCGTCTGCGTCGTCCTCATCAAGCTCGTCGTCCGCGGCGAGCAGTGGAGGGAGCACCGAGGAGGAATCGGTCGGCGGGGTAGAGGGCGTCCTCGTCGACGCCGGTCCGTACTCCACCTTCCACATTTCCATCGACAAGGTCTCGTAGAAGATCGCTTCGACCGTCGTGACGACCTTGTTGTCTGTCAAGTCGAGCACCTCCCAGCCCTTGCTCTCTGCCGACACTCCGAGGTGAAGACCCTAACGGGCCTTCGGCGCCAACTTCCTGCCGCGCCGCTGCTCGGGGACCATGAACTGCACCATGCAGCCCCACACGCGCGCTAGCGTCAAGTCCGGCTTCTTCTCGAACAGCAGCTCATGCGGCGTCGTCCCCTTTGGCAGAGAAGCCCGCTCGAGGCAGTTGCGCACCCAGACGGCCTGTCGCAGAGCGAGGTGCCACCAATGATGCTTCACGCCCATGTGCAGAAGCATCGTACGCACGGCCTCTACCACCGTGCGCATCTCCCGCTCGGCCATCCCGTTCTGCTGCGGAGTGTAGGGGCACGTCAGATTGTGGAGGATTCCCTTGTCCTCGACGAGGTCGGTGAAGGCGCGACCGAGGAACTCCCCTCCGCGGTCCGAACGCAACTTCTTCACCGTCTTCGACGTCTGCCGCTCTACCTCCTTCAGCCACTTTTCGAAGACGACCAGCACGTCACTTTTCTTCGCGATCGGCCTCACCCACACGTAGCGAGTCTTCCTATCTTTCAGCAAAAGAAAGTAGAGGCTGCCATCGTTGGCGGCCACCCGAAACGGTCCGCAGAGGTCGATGTGCACCACATCGAGCGCGTTCTCGGCGTCCGATCCTTGGTCGGGGAAGGTGTGTCGCGCAAGCTTGCCGCCGACGCAGGAGGTACACGGTAGATCATCTGCGGTCGACTTCTTCATGTCCAGACCGGCAGCAACCTCATTCTTCGCCGAGCTCTTGATCGTGTCGACGCCGACGTGCGCAAGCCGTGCGT